CTGGAGAAGGCTATGCAGTTAGATAAAGACATCTCAAAGTGAGATGATTATTTTATTGACAAATTCATATATTATTGACACTCTGTTGACGCGCTCTCACTTAAAATACTTTTCTTGTGTACCACCTAGGCTGGCTAAAGTGGTGCGGGGAGCCCAGGACCGGAACGGACCAGTGAATTTCTCTCAGGCAGAGTTGGACATGTACCTATCAGCCTGCAAGTTTCTGGACACCTCCGTGGCTTTCCCTCCAGAGAGGATGCCACTCTTTCAGATGTAAGAAGCTCAGAACAAAAGGACTTAAATACATGCTAGCACACGTTTTTGTTTAAGTTGTGGTGTTGTGTTAGTTATTTTTGTCAGTGGACTATTTCCTATCTGACCTATTCTGTGTAACTATCTGTTCCATGTACAGGTATCGTTGGGCATTTGTCCCTGAGGTGGACGTGAACCGCTACAGCGGCCAAGAGACTGCGGTGATGGAGGGCGAACAGGAATGCACACCCCATGTTGTCAGAGTACTGGAGAGCATACAGCAGCGATATGGGGTAAGATAACACCTCTTAACAAGTCTTATACAAATTGATAGATAATTTGAACTGCATGAACTCACACATGAATGAAAACGATAGAGAGAGAGAACACCTTGAAAGAGGACTTGACTGCAGCGTATCATCTGGTATCATCAATCTCTGATGAGTGACTGTAAAACAAACAAAATAAAAACTTTGGAACTCTGAACCTCTGGAAAGTTCTATGACATCCAGGATAAACACACTTAAAAGAAGCTTTGAGTGCCTCACATGTGTTAACATATAAGTGCAAGTCTTTACAAAAAGCTAATACAACAATAACATACAGTTTAAATGAACAGACGTGCCTTTGTGATGAGCTGATTACGTTAGGTGAAGAAATTAAGCTAAGACAATGGACCACAACGTTGCATCTTAACACTGTATATGGTGATTAACTTCATTTATGTTAACTTAACTTGCTATGCTGTTAGCTAGCTAACCTTTCTAAGGCTAATTGAGCTCGAGCTAGCTAACCTTACAGATCTAACGTTAGCTCCGCCAATATTACCAACCTGATGTAAGAAACAAACAGAGTGAAACATTATCTGAGATGTTAACATTTCAATAATCATGAAGACAGAACAATACTGGAGACTTTTGAATTTCATGGCTGTTGCTCAGAACGATGAACTGAAGCTGTTGTGTCCAAAGTCACGTTCACGAGCAGTCGGTCACGTCTTGTCACTCAAAAATGACTTTTAGGCGATAAGCAGTTTGAATAATAAAAATGTTCTATCGTCATTACAGATACATTAACCCACAATAAGACAGTACGATGTAGATGGATTGTGGTTCACTGAACTTGTACAGAGAAGCGTGTTTCCACCGCTTCACAGAAAATACTGTTTTATCATTGAAATTGTGTCATTTTAATTTATATTCTAGTGTCTGTGATAAACTCCAGCCCAAACTGAACACCCTATTGTCTTCCAAATGAACATACAAAGTCAAAAAGTCACATTCATTCAAGTTGTGTTTTGTGAATGACCACATCTCGTTCTGATGATGAAGTCCTGTCTTGATATTCCAGACTCTGAACGGGCTGAGTGAGGAATCTTCCACAGAGCACTTGGAGTTCCCCCTCCTCACCCAACGCTCACTGTCCTCCATCACCCAGCTGTGGCCTTTCCTTCGCACCCTTTGCTGTTCCTTCCAGAGCCCTCCTCCCGACAGCCACCCTGTGCCCCACCTCCCCCTAGCAGACTACCCAGCAGCCAGTGCAGACACGGTCCTGAAGAGGCTGGAGCACATCACTGAAGAGGAGTTCCTGGACTCCATGGAGAGTTAGAACTCAAGCTTGAAGCTTTCAATGGAATAAGTCCTCTTCCCGAGCTCTTTGACTTGCAGCCATACAATTGGAATACTTAAAATAGGCACAGCCGGTGTATTGTGAACTAGAAAGGAAATGTTTAGGAATTCAGTTTTTTAATGTTTTAACTTGATCTCTACATAAATATGTGTACCTCTGAGGTGCTCTCACACCGAGTCTGTATTGGAAAAGCCAAGGGACTTTTGTTGTCGTTATTTCAGTGGGTGTTTTGGTTATCTGAAAAAAACAAAAATGGTAGAAGTATTAATTTCAAATTACTATGAAATGCTTGTTTCTCTCTCAGGGACAAGTATGATCTAGGTTGAAAAATATTTAGATTGCGTCAGTGTCTACACTCTCATTTTATATGCTTTTAGTTATAATATCTTCTAATTCGGCGTCATGCACCTTCTAATACTATAAGTTCCAGTAAATATTTTAAAGTTTGTCAACAAATAGCAGATTCCTGTGAAGAACCTCATTAAGCATCGATGTGATCTTTTGACTTTTACATAACCACCTTCTGGTGCGTAATGTCTGCGTGACTCTGAGAATGTAGAATCTACTGTATATGGCTGCTGTTGGTACTTTCTCTTTAATTGTTAGTGGACACATTATTATGGGACCTCACAACCCTTTAGCTAAGATTGACGTTAAGAGTTGTATGAGTAAGTTACTGAATGTGATTTGTGTACACCTTGAAAATTCATATTCTTTGGTGTACCCTGCTAAAATACATGCTTGCCATTTCTGGTGTTCAAGGGAAATCAGTTTTTACAACTGCCTGTTGTCTTTCTTTTTTTTTTCCACAATGCTGAATGCTTAAGTCATTTATTTTGGATGTTTAAAGGACCATGTCATGTTTTATGAATTAACAGAAAGAAGACTCATTAAAAATAAATATTAAGCTTAAATACTGTGTTTTTACTTTACAGCGTCAGCTGCTTGTTTCTCTGTTTGTATTGGATAAACATTGAATGGAATTGGCGTTTCTATCCCCGATCCCTCCTGCCCACATGCTGAAGTGTCCGTTGGCGAGACACCGAACACTAAACCCTCCTGCCTTACATGTAGTTACCATTTTACCAACAGGTAAAGCGTTGCCTTTCATGCACATCATTCAGACAAAATTCAAAGTCGCATCACTGCACACAATCATCAGAACCTTTTTGCCCATATGGCTCAATGACGACCACCGGCAGAAACGTGTCTTTTCCATAATAAAGCTGTTCACCATACAACAAATGTTGCAACAATATGAAAACCCCCAGAACGAGCTGGAGGACGTAGTTGCGGGGAAGTTTGGGACTACACTGTGTAAAAAAAAAAATGTGCATCTAGCAGATTAGTAAAGTTACAACTGTAACAAACTCACACTTAACTGATACGAACGAATAATACACAGGGACTCTTTCAATCTGTGTGTGAGAATAGTTATCACCAAAAAACTGTAAAGGACGTATTGCTTGTACCGCTAATGACTTTTTAGTCAAGTGTTGTAATTGATAAAGGTAGCGCTATTAATTTGGACAACATTGAACCAGAAGTGATCCTATTAGCAAATGTATTATTAAAAATAACAATTACAATGCATATTAGTTTAATTCAGAATAAAACTGAGCACACAATGTGAAGCGAATTGACGCAACATGAGCAAATGAGAACGGGAAGTGGCATTTTGACACAACTTTTTTTACATTTAGTCTCATATTGTAGTAAAATTTGACAATAAAGGAGAGCGAGTACAATCGCTGCCTCTAATTTGGGCCTCCCACCCATACTCTCAGTCTGACCTCTTGTCCCTTGAAAAAGAGATTTTTAATCTCAATGGGACTCACCTGGTTAAATAAAGGTTTAAATAAAAAATAAATAAAAGAACGCTGGGCTTTGAATCACATTTGACAGTGTCCAAACGCTGGAATTACCATGTTCAAGCTTGTCAAGTGATGCCATGGGGCAGAGCCTCACCTGCCATCATGAAAAGTAAAAAACAAATAATGATAAAATAAAATAAATAATATTTATCCACTGATCTGTGCTATAAATGTAATTTCTGTATGACTTCAATCATTTTAAGCATTTTTATAGTCAAAATCGCTGAATTTGCGCATGTCCTGTTCAAACAGAGGAGACACGTGAGGTGAGGCAGCGACAAGCTGTGCTGCACCTCAGATTGCGCAATCCCTAACAAACTGGGTTGAGCGCGTGCCTTTTGCTTTCTCATTGTTTGTCACCACTCTAATATTTGTAGACACTTTTATTATATGTCATTTCTTTCCATAGAATAGGTCATGTATTTCACGTGTGTGTAGAACATATTTAGTCGTTGCTGATCTGACAGATCGGGTTCATGCTTGTAGTTCCGTTACTCTTCTTCTGCACTTCTCTTCTTCTTCTTATATTTTGCTTTGACCGCAAACGTTGAAGATTAAATATCTAAGCTTCAACAATTCTCAAAAACAGGGAAGTATGACCAAATCAACAGCAATCCAACGTCGGACAGGTAAAGTAACCTTGTATGTGTTTGTTGTTCTCTTTATAAATCCGTGGTTGTTACACAGATTTTCGCGGGTGGCGCCCGCGAGCGCTCCGCTTCTGAAACCGGTTGGTGGGGCAGGTCGCAGATCGCGGCGCACACGCTCCTGGTGCAATCAAATATGTACCTCACCTATGTGTGTGTAAATAATGCTGATATGAAATATGAAAAACAACCAGTAGTCAATGTGCAAGCTACCAATTGAATGTTGATTTAAGCTACTCTATATTGGGTTCATATATTTGTAAATCTGACTCTGAAAGAGTCAGTGCCTCACCAGCCACGAACCCCACCGCACGTCACTGCATGGGGCCCAAAATTGCCTATTCCCATAGACTTAAATTGGGAAGGAGACGCCTGTAACTCAATGGATAATATTTGAGGTGAATCTATTTTTTTCAGTACTATCACTCGCAGACCTTATTTAAATCATTGGGTCCTAACAGTTGTAAAATGCACGCTTAGCCAAATCCAAAGTTATTTTCTTTCCACGGTTCATGTGAACGAGTCAGAGGAAATGGTTTGGTATGGTTTGGTATGGACTGTAACGGCGCATGCGTCGTACCCCACAGCTGTCCCAGCCTTCATTTAACAGGCCTAGTTGTCATGGATGCGGAAGATCGCCGGAAGATCCGTTTAATTGCGCTGTTGACAAACATTTTTTTTTAAATTGACGTACCACCGAGCAACTTCTTTAGAAATGAGTGAGGAAGAGACAAGAATCGAAACCTAAGCCGCGCCTTGGCTTTGCACTTTGTAACCCTTCCTACCGACAACCGTGTTTACTGAAAGATGGCGGCACAGACAGACCGCGGTGTCCCGTTGAGTACGGTGAGTAGAATAGACTCTTTATTTATATTTTGACATTTAACGTTATAATATGTGGTCAACTACTGCAGCTATAGCTTACGTGATCAGTGGGGTTAAATAGACCGTCCGCGCGCTGTTTGAAATGCCCTGTTGACAGAAAGTAGAGCGTGTATTTACGTTATGGCTTATTTATAAATACGTTAGACTCTCTACCATAACAGTTTAAACCTATACAGCGATCTATGGTTGCAAACATTGGTGCGTCAGCATAAAACGGTACTCTATGCACAATATAGTATTGCTCGTAGCGGTAATGTCTGCCTGTAAATCAATTCACAAACGTCAATCAAACTGTATTTTTCAAGTATTACAGATGTGTAATGTTAACTCAATGGAAGAAGAAAAAAAAGAGTTCCCAGTCATTTAGTACTTTCACAGTTTAGGTCCCTCTATTTTTGTTTAATTACACCGTGGGACATCACGTGTGCTTTATTACCCTTAAGTAAATAATCCCTTATTTACTTAAATAAAAAGTCAAGTATTGTTCAACATGATATTGATTTACTGCAAAAAAAACATTGTGCGTGTAATCCGAGCTGGTCCAAGGAGCACCTAACTTCATCCTGCAATACATTCTCTATTATGCCATTTGTTTACACACTCCTAAAGTTTCTATCCCTCTCTTTGACTCCCTTCTCTAAACCTCATTTATCTTCTTTGAGCTTTTATTTATGTTATTCAGTGTTGGTCTGGCCTTCATGCAAAATGAATGGTGCTTATATTCTTCAGTATTTACCTCCCATTCTCTTATCTAAGACACCGCATTCATTGCAGTTAGCACATTTGTGAAAACAAGATACAGTTTCACTTTCAGTTGTATCAGCACAGACTGCATAGGACATGTGCTGGTATGTATAAAGCCATTCATAGTAAAAGTATTTGTGGGGGCATCCTCTGACAAAGGACACACTCTCTTTCTCTCTCTTCCCACATTTCCCATCTCGCTCTCCCTCTCTACCCTTTCAAATGTCAAAAGAAATGAAGAAGAACAAATCATTTTCCAACCATAAACATATAGTGTTATGACTCAGCTCCCAGATCATTAGCTCCAGAATTTCTCTTAACTACAATGCACATCTATGTACATTGTCAAAAGTGCATGAATTCTTATGTTGGTTGGGCTATGACATACAAAAACACACAATACATAACAAACACAAAAATGACACATTATTCTATATTTATGCTAGATTTGCATGTCGATCCCACAATCCTCGTTCTGTTTGAAAGAAACACGCATTACGCACTGCATTTCTGGCAGTGCCCATCTGCAAGCCTGTGTAAAGCAGCCAGGCTTCCAAATCCCAAAGAACAGATAGTTGTATATTTGGGTCCAGCCTCTCAAATGTCTTCCTGACATGTGGCGTGAGTGCCACAGGTCTGTAGTCATGGAGTGTGCCGAGACGTCCTTTCTTTGGCAGTGGAACAATCCAAGAAGTCTTCTGTAGATTGGGCACCTTCATCAACCTTAATGAAAGATTAGATTAGACTCCTGCAAGCTGCCCAGCACACGCTATGAGAACTTTGTTGGTTCGGAGTCTGAAAAGCTCCGTTTCCACCTGGGTGGGAGTAAGGCAGGCACTCACACTAAATCAGGCATTGCGGTGGAAAAAACGCTGTTTTAAGTGACACTCTCACACCTCTGCACTACTTGTCACAATACCTGATTTGGGTAAGTGTATACTAAGAGCAGGGCAAGGCGGCAAAAGTGGGTGGGGACCCATACACATTGTCTGAGCATATCGGAGTGTGAGTTGTGTCGAAACCCTTTGAAGAACAGATTCAGTTCTTAAATTCTGGGGCCCTTTGAACGCAATCCGTTCTTTGAGAAGTGCTAATCATGGGTAAAATGAGTGTCTGCGAGTTTACTCATCATTTGAGTGCATCGATTAAAGTTATGAAACCGTCTCAAAAGAGACTCTAGTACTCAGAAGCACTACACCTTTCGTCTACCGGGGGCCATCAAAATCAACACGAAATGAAAGTTCCTTGTAGTAGCTTTAGGGTTAAGGACACAGTGATTGAATTTGAATAGATTGATGAATGGAAATAAGGCCATTTTAATGTAGGCTGACTATTCTGTACCTCTTCCTTGCAGCTTTCTCCCAAGTTTCTTCATTCAAACTCCACCAGCCACACCTGGCCCTTCAGCGCCATCGCTGAGCTCATAGGTAAGTCATCGTCACATGGTTGTGTTTGCAAGTGAAACAAGCTGCTTTACATGAGTTTCTATTTTACTACACAGTGATGGCCCCAGTTGATTTGCATGATTGGGTGTCTTTGGATGACACAAACAATGATAATCCTATTTAGCGAATTAAACGAGCAGCGATGTTTAAAATGCAATTGAGATTCATTTTTTTCGACCACCAGGACAGATTTACATGAGATATTTAAAGTATTAAGTATCTCTTTCCCAGTAATCTTCACAGCAAACAAACAACCGACTAGCCTGCAGCATATAGGTTTGAATTTAACAATACTCTGAAAAGAGCCTGATTCAAATACCAACATGTGACCTTTGATGAAATGGTGTCGTAATGTCAATCAGGTCACCACTTAATAAATTAATAAATCTGAGAAACATGAGTCTTTAACCACCCGGACAAGTTTGAATGATTTAAAAAAAATCGCCAAGTATATAAAAACATTTACTGCCTGCTTGAGTCACCTCTCTCACTGGTATGTGAAAGCTTTTGAATAGCTATGAGGTCATGAAATACGGTATCAGAAGAGTGCAGCGGCTCAACTGTAGTTCAAATCTTAAGTTTACCACGTTACAAATCTCAACTCATTGTAGAAAAACATAAATATGTGGCGCATATACTAGATTTCCGTAGCAGGTAGTGCTCCACCTATTATACAGTATGTGCAATAACAACAGAGATGCTCCTTGTAAGCAGTCGCTTAAATGTCACACGCGGAGTAGTGTGAACTTTAAATGCTCGAGGTTGAGATTGTTATGTGAATTTAATTTGCTCCTGAATTGTTTCTTTCTACAGACAATGCCTATGATCCAGATGTCGGTGCCAAACAGTTCTGGATTGATAAGATTGTGGTTCAAGAACAAGAATGCCTCAGCTTTATGGATAATGGAAACGGTCTGGATCACGAAACACTGCATAAGATGCTCAGGTACTGTCACTTAAACCTTTTACAGGTGAATGTTGTACATGATGCTGCATTGAGGTGTGTGTATACTCACTGAATGATATATCCGTGTTCCCCCTCTAGCTTTGGGTACAGTGACAAGCCTACTATAAAGGGTGTGAAGCCGATTGGTATGTATGGCAACGGTTTCAAGTCTGGATCCATGCGTCTTGGCAAGGACACCATCGTGTTTTCGAAGTCGGAGAGGGCTTCGTGCGTTGGGATGCTCTCTCAAACCTACCTGACAGAGACTGGTGCTGACCAAATAAGTGTACCTATTGTGTGCTTTGAACAGAGAGAGAGAAACAAGCATATCCTTCATCTACTGCATTAAGACATGTTTTAGAGAAGCACGTTTTCTCTCAATCCTACACCCTGACTGTCATATTTTCCATTTCTCCTTATTTTTCATTGCAAGTTGTCCTTAACTTTGGCTTTACTCAGTGTAAGAGAGGAGTACAAAGCCAGCCTGCAGGATATCCTGCGCTATTCCCCTTTCAAGACACAGGAAGACTTGCTTCTTGAGATCAATGCCATCAGTTCCAACTGGTCCACAAAGAAAACCGGCACACGGATCATCATCTGGAATCTCCGCAGGTCTGTCTGTAGTTCCCACTTACAAACAGGAACCAGGTGCTAATGCCTGTATGTGCCTCAGATTTGTACAACGATCAGATAAAGAAGATATGTCGACACCTTAACTACTAACCGTTGAAGTCTCAGGACATCGTTCCTACAGGTAATAAGCAGCATTCAGCTACATGTGTGCATCAAACTGTCAAAAATAGTTTGTTGCTCGACCGTTTGTCCTCTCCGGCTTTTAGGCCGCGCTTCCAACAAACAGCAGGGCGGTTGTTAAACTTGGTTATCAATAATCAATAACACCAGTGTTGCATTTGATTGTCTGTTTGTTACTGATGGGCTCTTTTCCTGTGATTCAAGAATAATCAACGTTAGCCTTTAGGGAGCCCAGATAATCCAAAGACTGTAAGACATGTTTATGTTTTCAACAGGACACCTACTAGAATGACGGAGTTTGATTATGAGAAGGATCGTTACGATATCCGAATTCCATCCGACGTCTACAAGGAAATGAAGGAAATGAATGACTCTCAACATCCAGACAGGGTCACGTCACACATCCCTGAGAGTTTTTACTCACTGCGGGTAAGGGGCAGTAATGTGTACGTCTTCAAAACAGTTGTTAGTGATTGAGTTGTACCTCAGCCTTCATTGTATATGCCTTATCCACACACAGTCACAAATTATGTAATGTTAAGCGTACAAGCATCAAAATTGAGGCCAATCCTGGTCCAATATGCAACTTACACGAGAGTCATGTGCCGACTTTAAGCCTCCAGGTCACAAATAATAAGCAGGAGACATCTTGCGTCCAGCAGTTGAACTTTTGGATTCACAGATTCTGTATGATTCAAATAGGAGATATAGTTTTAAGACTTTTTAACCAAGTAATTTAACTTTCTGTGTAAAAACCATATCAGGCACATCTTAAAACATGTGTTGTTGTTGAAGCTCAGCCAGCTGTTTTAGTGGAGTCCATATAATTTATAGGTAATCTGTTGATATCACTTTCCATTTGCATGAGTGAATGTTTGATAATCGTTTTTTTTACTGGATGCAGGCCTATTGCAGTATTCTGTACCTGAAGCCAAGGATGCAAATCATCATTCGTGGTCAAAAGGTGAAATCTCAGCTCATTGCTAAGAGTCTTGCCTTCGTCGAAAAGGACCACTACAAGCCCACTTTCCTGGTATCCTTTCATCGCAGAGTATCGGTAAATGCGTTTGATTCGGGAGATTTGGTATGTGCGCAGGAAGTTTTCCTTAAATATTATTTCAGAACAAACGTATTCCTATTACTTTTGGCTATAACACCAAAAGTAAAGACCAGTATGGCATTATGATGTATCACAAGAACCGGCTCATCAAAGCCTACGAACGTGTGGGCTGCCAGCTCAAGGTGAGATGTGTTTGTTTTGATGAGTGTGCTTGTTTAGTACACATATCATCAAGGGTTTTTATGAATTCTATTAACCAGTGTTCGTGTTTCTGAAATGTTGCCTTCTGCAGGCCAACAACAAAGGTGTTGGGGTCATTGGGGTCATAGAGTGTTACTTTCTGGAACCTACCCACAACAAACAGAGCTTTGATGAAACGGAAAAGTACAGGTAATGGCACCAATGCCAAATTCTTTGATCACATCAGTCTGATTAAGGTTTCAGTGAGTTTCAGCTTGAACCTCGAACCTTGCACACAAACAATATTTTTATCGTATCAAATCCTGTTACTGGATTATTTCTCAGCACGGGGCCAGTAATGCAGAAGTCTGGTTTCTTGGTACAGGAAAACTATGACCAATTTAGGGACCAAACTGGAGGAGTACTGGAATGAAATGCGCCACAAGAGAAAAAGAGAGGATCCAAACGCCACCACACTGATGGAAGATACCATGTTAGTACATTTTGCAGTGACTGACATCATGTATTCTACACGCATATATGTCTAACCATGTTGACTTCCTACATGCTCTAAAACGTGTATCTGTCTATGTCCTCAGGAAGCGCCCGGATCAGAACTGGGTGCAGTGTGATGAGTGTTTGCGCTGGCGCAAACTCCCGGATGGGATCGACCGCAACAAGCTGCCAGAGCAATGGTACTGCCGTATGAACCCTGACCCTCAGTTCAGGTAACTAGAGCGTTATCAAAACACCTGTTGCAATAACTATAATCTCCTGTGATGAAATAAACCAATTCAAAATGGAAATGCAAATCTGTTTTTGTAAAAAAAGAAATGACAAACTATACTGTGGAAAAATATTTGTGTGTTGATAAATGGAAGCGCCAAAAACACATATACGCATTATTGAGATCAAGGTACTTTAACCCAAACGCAGCTCAAGACTCCCTGGCTCTTTTCAATCTCTTATCTATTTTACCCTCACAGGAGCTGCCAGGTGGAGGAGGAGCCTGAGGACTCTGATGATGAGCAGCCTTCATACCGCAAGACCTATAAACAACAGTGAGTCCCATTTCAGTTCAAGACACTGACACAACTTTTTGCCCCCAAATGTAATTGAATATTTAGACTCGATAAGAAATGCATGTTTTGTATTAATACTGATACTTAAACTGAGCATAATAAATGAAGGGACTTACGTTACTGCTGTGGTTATTTTTTTTACAGAGAGAAGGAAGACCGGAGGATTGAAGAGCAGAAAATGCAAAAGGTAAAAAAACTCTCTATACTGTAAATCACCTGCCGTTTCTCTGCATGCTTTTGTTTTTTCTGCACGATTTAGAATAAACAGTTATTTTTCTGATAGTTAGGTTTCTGATTCCAAAAAAGGTTGACACGTGATTAACAGTGTGTTTGGGAATTTTCATTTTTCTAGTTGGAGGAGACTAGAAAGCGCCAGGAAGAACAACGTCTGGCTAATTTCGTCAAGCAAAAACAGGTCCGTGGACGTCTGCAGGTACGTCAATTATTATGTCAAAAGACGTTTTAATAAATAAATAGCAGAAAGTAGATATGTTGTAGGATTAGATGTGGTTTTTAGATGCAACATCTTTCAGCTGTTAATCATGTCTCAAATCACTTTTTATGCAGAATGTAGTGTCTATATTGTTTGTCTGTATGAGTTGATTTAGTGGCAAGTGAGTTTCCCCATCGGGAATTAGTAAAGCTTTCTAGTCTAATCTTCCTTTTTTGTTGTGCTTGTTGACAGGCTGCCCATTCCCCCTCCACCCCCATTACCCCAAGGAATAGGTTTAACACTGTAACACCACAAGGGGGTGCTGCGAGGGCTGAATCCTCTCCATTTAGGTCCCCTTCCCTGTTACAAGCTGGTAAGAACAAGTGCTCTTCTTGTATGTGTGTGAGAAAGACAGAGAATGTTTATGAAATTTAAAATGTTTCTTTTATTTTTCTCTAGCTTGCAGCCCCTCCAGTAGCAGTGGTCTTCCAGTTATTTCTAGTGTACGCTCACTGTCAACAGCCCTCAGGTATGATGTTGTGTTGTTTGTGAGCTTAAATATATCCATTTGAGTTTGTTTAAGAAGCATATTTATTGTGCTTTGTGTGCATTGCAGGGGGAAAAGAACACAGCCTGCTAGTCCACAAACAACGCCCAAAAGACCTAAAATCAATGGCAACGTGGATACATCCACATTAGTGGAAGTGAGCCCACAAAGCTCCCCATCACTGCTCATTGATAATAATGATGATGATGACGATGATGATGATGATGATGATGATGATACTGATGATGACATTTTCATCGTGGAAATCACCAGTACCCCCAAGCCAAAAAATCCAGGCTTTGATTTGACTCGAGTGAAGATGGAGCAAGAGCAAAGTGATGCTGATGTCAGCATGCTTTTGGAGGGCAGCGATGATGCGGCTGTGGGTGACGCCCCGGAGACGAATGTTGCAGGAACAGGCCCTTCAGGGTCCGCAGCTGTGGGAACCAGTCCCTTCCCGGCACCCCCTGCAGAGGTGGCCAGCAGCACCACCCAGACAGAAGGACCCAAAGTGAAGAGGGAAGAGCAGGACCAAATTCAAACTGAAGGGGAGGAGAGAGCCGGGCAGAGTACATCCACTAAGAGTGGTAGAGAACAGAGTTCACATGTGGACATCGGTGTCTGCACTGTTGAGCAAAGCTTAATGAAGCATGAGAACAGTGGAGACACTCGCAGTGCCGAGCAAGGAAACCAGACCTTGCAGAACGGAGAGACACATCACCTGGATAGCGACAACGTTGCGGGACCTCGCTGTGCGAATGCCTGTGGTGAGAAAGACTCTCCACTTCTGTACCCCAGTGTCACTGAGGTACAGGACCAGCAGGACCAGCTCCTAGAGCTGATGCAGGCTACAGCTGTGGAGAGAGACTCTTTTCAAGAGCAGGTCCATAAACTTACCTGCCAACTGCAAGACATGCAGGGCCGACTGCAGGAGCTGTCTCAGATCAATGTGAAGAAGGAGTGTTCTCACCAGGCCATCCAGACGGAGGAAACTGAAGGGGGTAAGGACTACAAAGCTCTGTTTGAGAGGGCCAAACAGAAAGTCGATGAACTGATTCGGGACAAAGAGCTTTCACTGACCAAGCCTAGTGCTGCCCAATGTGAAGAAAGGGACATTGATGAAATTGCACTGCAAGTTGACAGTCTGATGCGAGACCTGGATGAAAGAAAAAAGGAGAGGGATGAACTGCGCACACAGGTCAGCGTTCTCGCTATGTTTAGAGCTTGAAGTTCAAGACCGGAGATACTCTTTATTTTTCTTATTGCCAACAAATGCCATAAAAAGACCACAGCCAACAGCTTCCAAGTCTGGTTCCTCTGGACAGCCTCACGCGTATATACCCAACAAATAGTTTTCAAATCCTAACATGAATCTGACTGTGCACTTTATTTATAGGTAGTAATCATAAAGAATGAGTTGTGTAAGGTTGTATGGATATATATTATTATTGTCTTTTGCATGATTTACTCTCTAAATATACACCTTTTTTTCTTCTTTATTGTGTTGACCTGCTTACCCTTCCTCCTGTATTCCTTTTCTTTTCTCCTGGGGATCTGCTGCGCCACCAGTTGGACCGTCTGGAGGACGAAAGGGCAAACCTGGTGTCCGAGTATGAAGAGTTCAGGTTGGGCCAGCAGCAGGAGAGGGAAAATGCTCAAGGGGGAATTAAAGCTCCACACAGAACCACTGATTCTCTGGTACAAACGGAACCAGAGGAAGCAGGAGCAACAGCGAAGTCCGGCACGAATTCAAGCTCAGATACATCAAGAAGGTTGGACTCTCCTTTCACGTTGAATGAATTGTAACTGAATTATCGCTATTTGACAAAGCCATCGAGGAACTCGGCAACCCAGAAAAACAATGACGTAAATCACATTTCCGCTTTTCTCTCCTCCCTTTAGTTTGATCGAGCTGAGGCACAACATCGGGCGTCTTCTCGTCTCGGCCTTCGTGCCGGCTCTGGACTTGGGACAAGTGAATTATGAGTGCAATGTAATTGATGAGATCCTCGAACAGGTTCTTTCTGATGAGGAGGCCGTTGCACGGGTGGGGCAGAGCTACAGCGCAATAAATGATTCAGCAACTCCTCGGATCCTGGAATGAAGGACCATATTCTACCTGTAAATATGAACTACAGAATTTTATAATCGTGGGCGATGAACTTGGATTTAGTTGAAGGTGTTTTCTTATGAATATATAGTAAATTCAACATTATGAGCCGCTTTGCATTCTTTCTTTGTCTCAACAGATGAAAACTGCTATAAAATAATCATAATAATAATTGTCAATACAACCACAGTGTACATTCATAAATGTTATATATTCACTTTGCTGATCAGATTTTGTTTCACAATGAAAGCTAACTGTTTTCTCTTTGATTTGAATTGGAGCAGATTTAATATGTTTTCTGTACAATATATTTTTGTATTTCCTGTCTTTGCTCTGTGATGAAATGCTCAATGGCACATTATCCTTAGTATCCTGGTGAACCCTTCTGGTAGGACAAACATAGAAGAGGCTGTCTTCCAGACTTCCAGTACATTTCTTAATGAGATAAACTGAAAGAGTTATCAGGAACCTCCCTCCAAGTCTTTCAACAGGCTTGTTTGAGCGATGTGTAATAGGCAACCAGATCATAGGTGGAAGAAGGAATCGGGTCTTTTACTTAAGTATAATATTAACACTACAGTGTAAAAATACTCTCACAAGTAAAAGTCCAACATCCAAAATATTACTTAAGTAAAACTACAAAAGTTTTAGCATGAAACAATATTTAAATCCCAGAACGGAAATGTTCAATTGATGTATCACTAAGGAGCTCATCTCAACTACTTGATCTACTTCTGGGTGTCTTAATCTAGAATAATACATCATAATGTATCAGTTGATTGATAATTAATAATAATAACTGGAAAGTAAATAGCAACAAATGTGAAATAAATCTAGTGGAGTAAAAAGAACAATACTACCTTCCAAGATGTAGTCTAGTGGAGTCGAAGTAAAGTAGCATAAAATGGAAATACTCGACTGCTAAAGTTTCAAGTACAGTACTTGAGTAAATGTACTTAGTTTCCTTACATCACTGACCGTGATAGAGGACTCAATCAGCATTTTGTACTTGCAGGCTAGTGCTCCTTCCCCTGAGAGGGGATTCCTCTTCATACAGCAACTATAGGTGTCAGGTTTCGACAGGTTTGTAAATCACAATGTGTGACGAGATTTTTGGAGCTTTATTTATTCAGGAAGGCTCATCTCTTTATTTTGCGAGTGAGAGCAAATTAAATGTATTCAAGATTACAAGTTGAAAAGACACACAAAGCAACCATCAAACACAGACGCACTAAAACATTTATGCTGATTTTAGATGTCATTAAGGTTCATTGTACGTTTTCATGTAACTCACTGGTGAGTGTGACCTTTGTCTTGGGTAATAAATCACATGACACTCATACATGATATCTCAATAGCCTTTGTAATAAAATACTAGCTTCCTAGTTCAATAAGACTTTGGAAGGGCTCAGAATAAAATACAATGTGGGTTGACATGCGGAAGAACACATTTCCATCACATTTAACCGAAAACTGAAATTACTTTACTAACCCTAACCCTATTTAAAAAGTCTCATGACTCACATGATACCATCAGCTTAATAAGAATTGCATAAACTATATTAAAGGTTAATATGTGAAAACAGTTTTGTTTAATATACTTGATTCATGAATAGAATATTCCCCATAGAAAAGATAGATAGATGCACAATATATACAATGAAATAGAATAATATTAAATTAACTAAACAGAAGTGCAAAGATTTAACCAAACAACAGAGTAACTGTGTTATAGTTTTGTTTTCTACTTTGTAACCATAATTAAACGCTTTCTAAAGATCAATTTATCTGTTTTACAAGAGAACTAAAGGGGACCGTGAGGGATTTTACACGTTAGTAATACATCCATGCTAAAGACAGACAGGCACCTCCTCTTCCGGGTTTTCGTCCAATCACTGCACTCTACTTGGCCGGAAGTTTGGAACGAATTGTACGCGGGAAATTACTAAGCGCTTCAGCTGGTCAACAGTGGAGGTAAGACACTATAATTTACTTCGAGAGAACTTCATGTCCAAGAATAAACACATATGAATCGGTTGTGTTTGTAACGAACATGTTTGTTAGCAAACCATAACTCATGTAGAGTTACATGTTTACCTGCTTTTGTCATTTGTAACGTTAGCCCTTCTTTATCCCAGCAAACCCACTAAATGTATTGCTAACGGTGTTAGCTAGTTGTAGCATTAGCTTTCAGTGACTTTTTGGCCAAGTACGTCGTTAAGTCCAATTATTTTCTATCGTAACTTGCCACACGGGCTCCATATAGTCCCAGCATGACGAGCTAACAGTTTGTGTTACGTTAGCTGCTAGCTAACGTCAGTCCATTGGAAACCGTCAGTAGGCACGTTATCACATTTACGTGCTTTTTCCCCTCCCGAGGTCAGTGTTGGATATTAAAGATGAAGGTGGTAACGTGTGAGATCGCATGGCACAACAAGGAGCCGGTCTACAGTCTGGACTTCCAGCACGGCTCAGATGGACGCATTCATCGGCTGGCCACAGCTGGAGTGGACACTACAGTCAGAGTGAGTGGAGATGGTTTAATGAACCAACAGTGTTGTATGAAAACATGCATGTCAGACCACAGAAATAATAGTTTACGTTCAGCTATATATGGTCACAGCTGATTTACAGAGTGCGTGCTTAATGACTCTTTGCCCTGATGTGGATGCAGCTGTGGCGGGTGGACAGCGGCCCCGATGGGAAGGCGGTGGTGGAGGTTCTGTCTAATCTGGCTCGACACACCAAGGCTGTCAACGTAGTGCGCTTTAGCCCCAACGGAGAGCTGCTGGCCTCAGGAGGAGACGGTATGTCACACGTAGGAGTAGTACACGTATACTAGATAAAATATGTCAGTATCTGAAATGCACTGATGATGTTAATCTCAAAACAGAACCGATATTTACAAATACAATGACCTTTAGTAATGTTTTATTATCTGGTACAGATGCAGCAATTCTGCTGTGGAAGCTTAACGACTCAAAGGAGCCTGAGCCGGCCCCCATGTTCCAGGAGGAAGAAGATGCTCAGCTGAACAAGGAGAGCTGGTCTGTGGTCAAGACTTTAAGGTACACAACTGTCAAAAGCACTGTGGGGCCCAAAACAGGTATTATTTATTCATTCTACATTATTTACAGAGAAACAATGACAGATGTACTGTCGATTTGTATTTAGGTAAAGATAGTTTTCCAACACCAGTCCTTTGATGAGCAGTGATAGTTCAAGTAACTGAAAGTATTAAATCATGTCTTGGCAACGCAATTCAGTAACGCTGCGTTGGGGCAAACACAAGTTTACGATACGTACACATTTTGTTCAGTAAGATTATCTTCACAAATGAAAACCACTTTAACTTTTTGAAGCGTGAATGCGATCGGTGGAGGTAAAATGCTAACGTTAGCCTTTAAAAGAACTACACCCCGGCTGCATGAGCGCGAGTATAAACATAAAAGAGGCTTTGAAGGCTTGATGACATTTGGTCTCATTTAGCTACTTGTTAGCAACCGCCTTTTTTAAGACACGTAAAAGCTCTTAAGCTTGTTCTAACCACAGATCTTATTTCACGCAGCTAACCAAAAGCCCATTAAACCATTTCAAATGTACTATCTGTTTGATGTGAATGTGTTGCAATACTGTGGTTACAGAAAGACATTTCTTATTGAATTTGTCTTCAGGGGACACATAGAGGACGTGTATGACGTCTGCTGGACCCGGGATGGAAACATGATGGTGTCTGGCTCTGTTGATAACACGGCTATTATGTGGGACATCAACAAAGGTTTGTTAGGACTCAGATATGTGCATTCCATTCAGTTTCATCTGTTATACTTGTATTTTAGTCATATGAATCCACATCATACTGTAAAGTATGTAAGATAATATCTTGGTTCTTGTGTTCAGGACAGAAGCTGTGCATCCTGAATGACCACAAGAGCTACGTGCAGGGGGTGACCTGGGATCCTCTGGGGCAATACGTAGCCACTCTCAGCTGTGACAGGTAGAAAAACAGAGATTCAGACAACCTGGTCATCCCCCATTGCCCCATGATGGATCTAATCTTCATTAAATTAATGTGTTTGCTGTTGCTTAGCTTCATACTTAAGATGTCTGTGTTTTCCTCCCCTTCAGAGTGATGCGTGTGTTCAACACTCACACCAAAAAGAAAGCCTTCTGTATCAGTAAAATGAGCCCTGGGCCACTCTCAGAGGGAGAGGTCAGTAGAATGTTTGTATATAGTTCTGATTGAAATAATCATTTTTTGAGGTTTCTGAAAAAGTAATTCTGTTGACCAAGACATACTTGTCTTCTTTATGTGGTCTTAAGTTATGAATTTACTCTGTAATATCTTCAGAGATCTGCTGCCAAATGTGTGAGTCAGTCATGTGACACACACACACACAGTGCTGCATTTCTCTTTGTCGTTGCAGGTCAAGCCGTACAGAATGTTCCACGATGACAGCATGAGGTCATTTTTCCGACGGCTTTCCTTCACACCTGATGGGTCTTTCTTGTTAGCCCCAGGTACATAAGCATCCTGCTCTAGGTGTGGCTTTTAGCTGCCATTTATCTGGTAACATTTGATTGTTGTAATATCCTAACTAAGGTCCATCCATCCATCCATTTTCCTCCGCTTATCCGGGGTCGGGTCGCAGTGGCGGCTAATTAAGGTCATTTATATAAACTAATTTCCGTCTTTCGTTGTCGCCCTTTGTGACCGTAGCTGGATGTGTGGAGCTTGGAGAGAACATCATAAATACCACCTACATCTTTTCCAGAAAGAGCCTCAAGAGGTAAGTTTTGTTGCTTTTATGGTTTTTCCGAGTAATTTTTGTCGGTAGTAATTCCACTAACTGATGTACAACTGTGTTTTAGGCCTATTGCCCACTTGCCGTGCCCGACTAAAGCTACGCTGGCTGTGCGCTGCTGCCCCGTCTACTTTGAACTGAGGACCAAGTCGGACGAAGGCAAGAACAAACGCCCCATTAGTCAACAGACAACAACGATAATGAAGCCCTCCCCCCTTTTTTGAAATTGTCTACACCGTTTGTTTTACCGTTTGTCCTCTACAGACGGTTCGGTTCAGGTTCTTCCCAACGTATTCCAGCTGCCGTACCGCATGGTGTTTGCTGTGGCATCCGAGGACTCCATCTTCTTGTATGACACGCAGCAGACCATTCCGTTCGGCCTGGTGTCCAACATCCACTACCACACACTCAGTGATCTTACATGGTGAACTATTCTATCGTCTTCTTCTGTAGCTCTTTCATGGGTTACAGATAGTCCTCATTTGTAGGAATAAATTGTGGCGGATGTCGTAGACCTAAGTGCTAATAGTTCTATTTCTCTATATATATTTTAAATGATTAAATTAAGACGTCTTGAACTATCTGTTTTAGACACGTTTTTGTATCGTATCACCTTTAGGTCCCGAGACGGTTCCTTCCTGGCAGTGTCCTCCACAGACGGCTACTGCTCCTTCCTGTCCTTCTCTCCCGGGGAGTTGGGCACTCCCCTGAAGGAGCCCCCCACCCTGGAGGTCTTTGTCCCAAGCACTGGTGTTGAGAAAAGGGGCAAGAAGTCCTCAGCGGCCAGGACCTCGTCTCCTTTGACCCAAACGCCAAGCTCAGCACAGACTCCCACATCCCAAACCGGCCTCAGCAAAGATGTCCCCTCTGTCACCCCCCCAGAGGAGAAGAGGAGCACCCCGAGTGCCAAGTCTAAACCTCAGCCCCGTAGGATCACCCTGAACACCCTGGAGGGCTGGGGGAAGCCCTCCGCCGCTAAAACCACCGCTCCTCCTTCAGCACCTCAGACCCCAACGTCTGCAAGCAGCAGTGCTCCCTCTACTCCCCAACCCTGTGTCACCCCTCTCACCCCCACTACCTCCTCCACAACACAACCCCGCATCGCCCCTCTCACCCCCACTACCTCCTCCACAACACAACCCCGCATCGCCCCTCTCACCCCCACTAACTCCTCCACAACACAGCCACGCATCGCCCCCCTCACTCCCTCCACCCCGAAAGCCCTCAAGAGTGGTAATAGTGCTGGCTCCACCACTCCCAAGGGTGCAACCACCCCAAAGGGGCCGACCCCACGGTAATGCGAAAGTACAGCTATGTTTAATTCTGTGAAAGTGAATTGGTTTATTATATATTAAGGGTGAACCTTTGTACATGCACAGCTATGCTGTGATTGTCGGCAGGTAGACTTCCACTATTGTGTAGTAGGACTGCAGCTCATGATTTTTACATTATTGACTAATCATTTCATAATATATTTCAGCAAACAATGAGAAATAGACATCACTATTTCTTAGGCCCCAAGATGGCTTCAAACTGCTTGTTTTGTTCAAAATCTTTTATCTATGTGCGACTTCACTGCCAATCAATGAATCGTTTAAGCAGGAGTGCATAGCATACTTTCTCTGTATGTATTGTTTGTTGATGTGTTTTCAATAATTGTGTCAGTATTCACCTGAGTGACGGGGATGTTTTTGTCCGTTTCCGTCGCTCACACATTTAAATACGTCTGCACACTGCCCCAAACCACTCAAGTCATTTGTGTGATTTAATTGATCACACAGGAGAATTAATGTCATTTATTTTCTGAACCAGCAATATCTTCCTAAATGTTTTCATCCACTCCGGGTATTTAAAACTGTAGATGGTGTGAAGGATGCAGGAGCGGCCTCATACTGGACTGCATATGGTTATTTATGGAAATACTTGAACTATTCAAATGTGTGTTGAATGGCGTCAGACTGAGGAAGTAACACACCGAGCACACTGCGTCCACCTCCCTCCCCCGAAAGATTAAAGTAACTAAGCTGATTATCTCCAAAGATGCAGTTTAAAGGAGTACTAAACGCAAGAAAGCGCTGCGATATTCAGAATGTGTTTTTAAAAAAGCAGGAAAAATATAAATGGCCGTAATGGGCTTGCAATGTTTTTGTCTGCACTGGCAGTGAGAACAAAGCCTGTCTGGTACGAGGGATCCGTTGGACCCCCCACTGACTATAAAAACAGTAATCACTGACAGACAGCGTTAGACAATGGCAGGTCTGCACATGCTTTTGTGTTTGCCTTGTATCTGTAGCTTGGAGTGTTTGCATTTCGACTGAATCAGGAACAAACTGTGATTAACGGTGTAGAAGAGAAGAAGTTATTGTCACATCTTGTGTGTTTTCTCATGCTTTCATCCTTTTTCTTTACAGGAGAGTATCTCTGACTCCCATTGCATCCCGATCTCCAGCTATTAGCTCACTCTTCCGCACTCCCTCCTCCACGGAGAAGGCCAAACATGGTTAGTGAGTGCAGCTGCTTCCTGTTGACCTTCATGTTGCAAATATCACAAAAGACACAAAACAATATGGGACTGCTCAGTAATCCATCCACCTTCATAGACGCCCTCACAGTCTCATTTGTGTTGTGATGTATCGGTCCAACGTTGTTTCTCCTGATGCTGATTCCTCAACGCAGGATATCGTCATTCATCAGGGAAGAATCGGATCAATACAGATCACACTTATATGATTTCTGCTCTTTGAATATATTTCTGTAGCTTGGCAGAAAAGTAGCTTAAAAGGAGCTTAAAAACTCTTAATTTAAATAATATTACCGTTTACATTTGTTTTTGACCATCGATTTCTGATAACTCAAACACATTGGTTCAGAGGTCAAACTGAAACATTGGTAATTTGTCCTTAATTGCGCAGGAAAGTTGTTTTTCTATGGCAAGCACAGTAGGTCAAAGTTGAAGTGGGTCTGTGAACTGTAATCAGTGTTTACAGCGAGCATAAAACCTGCCATTCACTTTTGTTTTCTCTTTGGAATAAATTTGGCTAACCTGGGGGTTCGTTAAGTTATAGTTGTGTCCTGACTTTAACATTTTCATTACTAGTGTGTTAACTAGTCAGTTGATCTGCTACATGAAAGAATATCTACATACGGTTGCTTACATCACAGCAGAAGGCAGACAGAACCAGGCTACCATGTGCAACGCTGCCGTCACTGATCCGTTCACTTGTATTCCTGCAGAACGTCCTTCCCCTCCCTCTGATCCAGTGTGCCAGCCTCCAGAGTCCAAACGGCCGAAGACCAGTGAGCCCCCCGTGAAGACTAGTGTCTCATAGGAACATTGTGGTGCTGTGATATCGGCCCATACAGCAAGGGGGTGACCGTTACAGAAGCGACAAAACCACTGCGGCTCCTCGTGGATGCGACGCCATCGTGCAACAGCATTGCGTGTGTGTGTGGATACGATCTGTCGGTGAAGCTTTAACCCCACGTAATGTTGTCGTTATACAACAAACCGCATTGCAGTACGTGTCCTTGAATTAATGCTTATTTTAGTCTTTGGTGTGTTTTTGTATCATACAGTAAACAGGTAATTGTACTGTATTTGATTTACATTTAGATGCTTATGTGTGGTTGCACCAGAGGGAAGGTTTTTCTCATTCTTTTTCAGAAAAATGTGATTGTGAAACTAAAACAGCTCGAAACCTGAAGAATAAAAAACACAAGCGCTTCCAGGTTTAGTGCCTCGTGAAAGCTTTGAATACACAACCTGCGTCTTAATTTGATGCAGACCGTGGTTCAGCAACTTGAGTGTAAAGTTAAACATTGTCTTTTTGTCATATTGTCCAATAAAGGATGTTTCATATAAAGTGAGTGTTTGAGTGGTTTGTAGAAAATAACTGGGATGATTCATGCTTTCTTAGCTACAAGCAGCTGACTGTTGTGTTATTGTCTGAGGAAAACCGTCATTAATGAGCTGTTTTTGCACTCGGCTTAAACTTGAGCCATCTTTACACAATCCTTGTGAGAACCAGGCTGATTGATGTACAGAAGAATAATACTGACTCAGCAAACAAATAATGCTGCAATGTTTGCTGAGAAGATCAACAGCCATGATATTAAGGCTATTTGTCTTTATGTTCAAGACTGGCCAGGATTTTTATTTCTTATTCTGAGGTTGGATGATTTTGACTGTAAACCAACAAGATCTATACTTTTTCCTTTCTTGTATTTTTTTTATGTAAATTAATTATTGAGTTAACTGTTAATGTCTACATGAAGGTCTACATACTGCCTGGAAAAACTGATGGATAAATAATGATTCTATTTCTTTATTGTCACATTTGTAAACATAACATACACCATATTCAATTCATGAAATGAAAGTCAATGTTACTCTAGATCACTTCAAACGCTGAATAAAAAATGCTGTTCAACAACAGTATTCAATAACCTCTTTTTTAAACGCCACAATGATTAAAATTCATTATTGAACATGCATTGTTTTGGTGTTGACATATAGGCGAGTGGGTGATGTATTAATTTGATACAGATGTTTTAATTTTCTGTTTTATGTGAAATATTGGGGACAACTCGGAGTTAGATTTTGTGTTGAAAGTTTTGTGAAAACTGAGCCAAAAGTGATTGTAAAATGAAAACTGTATTTCAATATTTGTAACTGATTTAAGATGGTAGTGACTACAATTTAGAATCTGAGATTATTAGTTGCCGTTTGTTCTTGCTTAATAACGTCAGGTCAATTTAGGAAGATAAAAACTGGACAAATTTAATTTAAGAGTACCTGCGTGTCAGAGGAGAGGGAAATACATTAATCATATATATTTATCTTGACTGTGCAGCAAGTGAAGCAAATACTAGTTTACTGGCGTGTGCGAACAACCTACCTTGCTGTAACGGGAAGAAAACTAACTTGAGTGTCAGCTCTGTCAGCCAATCACATGTCGTCTGCTAGAATCTCTTTAACGCTTCTGCTAATGGCCTTTGTGTGAAGGCGGGGAGGACTCGTCTCGGTTAGGCTGCTGATTAGCAACAAACAGAAGGTTACGAGTTTAAGAAATTGGACCGCCAGCCTGTCTTTGCGGCACCGAGAGCGGCGCTAACTGTGGCGGATGTCCAACCGGAGCTTGTTGTGTCGCTTTTGAGCGGAACCCCGGTGGTGATTTCGCAACATTTCGGGGGCTTATCGCCGAGACAACCCCTCGCGTTCAGGTCGTTTCAAGTGGCGATGCTGAGCCGATAGCTGCGTCATCATGTTGCTTCCGACTCGAGTTGTCGAAAAGAAATCTCAAGTTAACGCCAGCGGTGAGGCTGCCCGCCGTCATCCCGCCGGAGGCCACTCCCGACCCCTGAGATAGATGGAAGACGAGCTGCTGGTGTGCGGCTCACGGTGAAACCCGGTCTTACGGTGTCGCTGTGAAACTGGTGACTTTACATCACTTCGCGCGATATATATATATACTGCGTTTATTACCTAACGTTTACAATCGGATGGACGTCCATTGATGTTGCGTCGCGTTAGAAAAAAAGCGCAATTTTTACAAAAAATATGACCAACCTCTGAAAGTTTAACTGGATGCGTATTTTAGGGATGTTAGCCACAACTGTTTGGAGAGTGAGAAGTGATGCTCTCACTGACAGTTAGGGTGCGTTACGAAGCAGGACCCTCTAGTGAAATGCTGCTCACTCCCACCTGGTGGGGACTATCTTCGTTAGCGCCAGTGGAGAAAAACTAGCTTTTGTAAGCAATGAGAGACGTGGTGGTGCATTTGAGCTTAACAGGCTAATTTGTAGTCGTCCAGCGGGATATGTCAGCCTGTTAGCGGGGTGTATAGTTGCCAATTATTGTTGGGGTCGGTGGTCTGTTGTCTGCTGTCAGCGTATCCACGTGGACTTTGTTTCAGGTCGGTGGTGTAAAGTTTGGCGTTGTAACATTACCGGGTGTTTGAGAGGGGGCAGGTGCGGTCCTTCTAAAGTTAAATATACATTACAATATAAAAAATGGCCGGCGACTGCACCCACACCAATGCCCGTTACGCGAACGCAGAGACGGTTTGTCCGTCCAAGCCGTGGTCGGACGGAGCCGGAACCGGAGCGATGGAGTCCGCCGGGAACTCTGAGGGGCGTGGACTTCCCACACGGTGGTCGCCCAACTTCGAGACGATAGACGGGCTGTTGTACCGCAAGAAGCTGGAAAGAGGCTTCGTCAACTACCGGGAGGTTTTGGACGAGGATCGGAGACCCGAGGCCCTCTCCACCTTTCACCGGCGGAGGCTCGGCCAGCGCCACCTCTCCCTGGAGGAGACTTATAAATGCGTGGCTGAAAACTACTGGTGGGAAGGTATGGACTTCCCTTCCGGCTTTACATCTGACATAACAGAAACACAGCATGTTGTTCCTGACTCTGAACACCAGCTTGTTATGTGTTATCTTATCTAGAAACTGTTTGTATTGTTGGGGAGTCAATGGCATTTAAAACACTAGTGATTAACTCAATCAAAGATTAAGACATGCACTCACACATAAATGACATTTATGTCATAAATGACATAAATGTCTACATTTCCTCTTGAAGCTCTCACTAGCTTGGACCCGTTAATATTTTTGTCTGTATTCTCTTCACAGGGATGTATTTCCAGATCAGAGATTTTGTCCTGGGCTGTCTAGAATGCCAGCGCACCAAGAAAACAGAGGTATGTAATACGATCCTGTATTCATTTTAATCATCAAACTTTCAGTCTTTTTCTAATTTGTCTGCATCTCACACTTCTGAGTTTACACTCTCATTCTCACTTAGTCGTGCTCTCACACTCGGATGTCTCACACATTGTATTCCTATAATGATGCCTCTCTTATCTGCCTCTCAGGAGCCGGGTGGCAGAGGATGTGTCACGAAGACGATGGAGTCGCATAGCGGCGACATGCTGAGCAAGCTGAGGAGTCAGCGGGAGGCGGGGCTGTTCTGTGACATTACACTGCGGACCAACGGGAGGTCCTACTCGGCCCACAGAGCCGTCTTGGCGGCCGTCAGCGATCACTTCCAGGAAGTCTTCACGGAAATGGACTCGAGCATGAAGGCAGACATAGATCTCACCGGTAAGATTTGAGGTCCAAACTGACAAAACACTGCTGTTTGAGTTCTCATTGTCCCCAGATGTACCCCCCCCAAAAAGATGCATTTGAGTGTTCTTCTTGAACTTCTCAGTCAAGCTCATCACCAGGAAGTGTTCATCACTGTTCCTCAAGATACTACACTGTTATCAATTCATCTCCAGACTATTTGATCTGTGTTTTTCTCTGTGAAATGCCACGAAATAATGAGAATTACCCAGAGCCCGATGTGACATTCAAAGATATTAAGTTACCATCATACTTAGAATAGAGAAGCTGGTACCAGGCATTATCAAAATAGTTGCAGATTCATTTTCTGTTAATTGAGTAATCTTTGCATTGCTAGTTAATGGTATGTTTAATTCTAATTATAATAATAAAGAATGTTTCTGTGATTAACATGTCCAAGTTAGTACAAACAGAATTGTTTATGCATGGTTTCCTTTATTTAGCTTGTGCAGGGACTTTCCCATCAACTCAGTAGTTCATCTCTCATCATTCAAACAATGGTCTGTGGGAAACAGAGAGCTGCAGATGATGCATACATACATACAATGGTCATTCAGGCAACAGCAGGCTGTATTTGTCCGCTGTATTTAATGTCCTTTTGAAACGGTTTCCGGCTTGTCGGTTCATGACGACGTTTTAATTCGATCAAGATATTCGGAGTTGGAGGGTCCAGACCCTGAATTGGGACACAACCATCGTCTGTCTTCCCTATTACGCATGTCTTTGATGTGTGCCGTCAGACAGGAGCAGAAGTGGCCCTGATTAAAGCCGTTGTTATATTGTCTCTCCACCATCATGTTTACACTCTGCTCCCGCTCTGCCTGCTGCCTCTCTGATCCTCTGTTTGCACAGTCACTTTCATCTTACTCCCTGATTGACCACGGTGCAGCATGTATAATTTAAAGACTCCCCTTTTTTTTTTTTTTCCTCTCCAGGTTTTGGAGAGGACAACCTTCTGTCTCTGCTGGAGTTCTCCTACTCCTCCACTCTGTGCGTTCGCCAGCAGGACCTACCCGAAGTCATCGCCATGGCCCGCCACCTGGGCATGTGGCCCGCGGTGGAAGCCTGCTCTGCTCTCATGAAGGAGCAGGAGCAGAAACTCCATCCTCGCAAGGACTTCGCCTCAGCCTGTTGCTGCCAGCAGAGGGAAGGCAAAAGGAAAAGGCTTTTTGGATCGGAGAACCATGTGGACAACGGCTTCAGTCGAATGCTGGGTGCATCCGATGAGTCTTTAGAAGGGAGTCCGAGGCGAAACTTGCGGAGGACGCCGAAGGCCGAAGGCCACAACGGCCTCCCTCTTAGCCCCTCGCACAGGATGAAGCTCATGGACTTCAAATCTCCCTCACTCAAGAAAGCCACCACGCCTCGACACACCAACCCGCAGAATTACTCGCGCATATCTCCACCGAACACCCGTCTCCTCCGCTCCACTCCCGGGGCTGCCAAAGAGGTTCTGAGGTTGCTGCCCGTGCCGGAGAGCCCTCGGCGAAACCGAAAGGCTCACTCTATCGCCCAGCTCTCCCGCACCTCTATGTCGATGGTTAAGAAGGTCGCGGTGCGCAGCCCCGTGAGGGTAAAGCAGGAAGTGGAGGAGGTCGGAGAGGATGAACAGGATAACGCGAGGGCACAGGAGAAGTACGAGCTGATGAATGTTCTCGGGTTGCAGAGGACCGCCCTCCTCCCCAGACCTGAAGATCTGATTGGCTGGCGACAGAAGAAACGCCTGAGGAAGCTGAAGGCGAACAACTATTCACTGACAAATCGGCGGAAACCACGCCCCACCTCCCCGGGACTACCGTACGGGGCTCTGACACTGTCCCTTCCCCTCTGTAACCCCGTTAACACCCACCTCCTCAACAAGTCAGGGAAGACCAGGCCCGTGGGTCCGGTCAGCAAAGAGCAGATGACGGCAAAGAGGCCAAAGGCCATCCCGCGACACATCCCTCCAAGTGACAGGAGCATGCGGAGTCAAGGTATGTTGCCAGACATGTTCCAGCCCGCATGCAGGGCTCTCTTTGGTGGGAGGAACCTCAGACGGTCAGTGAGGAAGGGCGACGGCGCCCGCCTTCCTGCCCAGCCGCCTCAGCAACGCAACACCAAGAAAGTGCTCGTGAGAAACGCGGTCAGGATCAAATCGGAGCCGACCGAATACTCCGTCTTAGGCTTCCCTCTTTCATCCAACAAATTGCCGCCTTCACACAGGACACAAGCCAAGAATCAGGTCCCCGTAGAGACGGTCAGAACGCCGCATTACAACAGCAGCCGACCGGCACCGAAGGCCAAGCTTAGGCGGGGCTCCATGGTGGAGGTGGAGAAGACGATGCGCAGAGAGGAGGGCAGGAAGATCGGGGTCATGGATAACGAACCCGACGGGCTCCAGTTTTCGGAGCGAGCACCTCCGGCATCCCTCTACAGCCACCCTCTGTACAAAGTCATCAAAGAGGAGCCCGCGGACCCCGTGCCAGTGGGAGGACCTTTCCCCGAGCCTCCCTCGTCGGACCTGGGCAAGCGCCAGAGCAAGCCCCCCATCAAACTACTGGACTCGGGCTTTCTTTTCAGCTTCTGTCGGCCCGCGGGGGGGCCGATGGCGTGCCTGAAGAAAGAGGAGGAGAGCGTGGATATCTGCCTGACGCGCTCTGTGTCACAAGTTGGGGAGAAATTTGGAGCAGAGGAGTCCCCCCACAGGGCGCTGAGAGCCAGAGGGCCGACCCCGCTGCCTGCGGTGAAGAAGGAGAGGAGCGTGAGCCAAAGCAGAGCTCAGAGACCCCGGCAAAACTCCCGACACAGCACTCCTCACCTGGCCAAACCTGTCGGGTCAAAGGCCAAGCCAAAGGTAGATGAAAGGGAGAGCAGTGGTTTATTTTGGGATCATAAAGCATCCAGGCGGGAAAAAGCAGTTAAGGGGGAACGATGCAGAAAATGTCACCTTCTACCTTTTTGATTTTGCATGTATATGATGTATCTTGCATCTACAAAATGTGCTTCAATCCCTTCGTTTCTCCTGCATCACCAGCAGCAAGGTACTCTCCCTCCGAGCAGCAGGAGCTGCGTCCCGCCGGACGCTGTCCGTCGGGCGAGGCTGAAGCGGCTCCGAGGGCCTCGTAGTCAAGTCCCAAAAGCGGCCCACACCTGTGTGCAGTGCCCGGCCTCCTACAAGGACTGTGATGCTCTAATCATGCATCGCCTCAGGCACATCGAGGGCAAGCACTGGCCATGTCTGGTAAGACCTTAACCTGGAATCACACGACTCTATAAGGGGTTGAAAATCATGACCTGAAGTGCCAAAAACCTGCAGATTTTAACCCCGCCCAGCATTGTACCATTTAGAGTGAAATCCAGCTGTGTGGTGAGATTCAAGACGGGTACGCCTCATCTGAAGTGGGTGCTCTGCTAGTTGATTGGTTGTGATAAAAGTGCTGACTTTTGCAAGTCTGTGTGCGAGTACATTTACTCAAGTAATGTACTTAAGTACAATTATGAAGTACTTGACTTTAGTATTTGCCTTTTTATGCCAATTTATACTTGTTGTACTCTAATACATTTCAGAGAAATATGTTGTACTTTTTACCTCACTACTACCTGACAGCTATAGTTACTTTGAAGATTATTTTTTAAGCTTGTTGGGAACTTTGGGCACACGTGCCACCAATGCCACTAACCAAGGGCTTACTAGCAATAGTGTGCAAGATAGATTTATACCACTATGTATATCTGTCTGGTAAATAAGAAGCTGGAGACAGTTAGCTTAGCACAAAGCCGCCCCATGTGTAGCCTCAGTATAACGTCTCCGTTCGTGTTCCTTGCCGTTAACCCGTCGTCCTCCCCTCTCTGCTGCGTAGCTCTGCAGTAAGACGTTCTTTCGACTGAGGAACGTACGGAACCACATCCGCACCCACGACCCCAAGTTGTACAAATGTCGGAGCTGCATTGCTGCCGGTTCCTGAGGGTCTGCTCCAGCAGCGAGACTGAGGTGAGTGAACAGTTGACACCTTTCGAGGCTGAGCTGCGCTTAACTCGCCTCGCTCATCTGTTGTCTTTGGTGGAGCTGTCTCACAAGTGATTTTTTTTTTTTTTTTTTTTTTGTCTGCTTCTTAACACTATGTCTTCCAGGATGAAGGCTTTCGCTGTGTGACACCAGCGACCCGCTGACGCCAGAGGCACATGATCGATCAGCAGCTTGTAAATAATGCGTCTGTCACACACAAGAACAAACGGGCTGTGGAAAAGGCATAATTACTCTGATTCTAATCATTGCTGTCGCCAACGATCGCTAATGTTAATTAAATAACCAAACCGAGGCTGCTGGTCCTGTTTGGGTTAAACTTGAACATTACACTCAGGGGGTGGGGAATGTCGTGCCACGGTATAAAGTGATCTAATGTCACGGTTGTGTATAAAATGAAATGTAAAGTGATTGTTATAACTATTACTGCTACGTATTATTATTTTTATATGTATAGATGCATCTCGAGTGCACTTATGTCATAGCTTACGTTGTAAACCTAAGAAGCGGTGATGAAATTGAAGGTTTTGGAGTCGGCGGCGGGAAAACTTGAAGTGATGAAAGAGCTGGAGGGAATACTTGAAGTGGGCGGGGTCCTAGGAGTGAGAAGGTCCTTTGGGTGCTTCACTGGGTCTTTGTCCTCTTGGTGTGCTAACCAGTCTGTCCCCTCCTTACGTATTTATCTCTCATCGTGTCTCGTGGTCGGGGGTTTGACTCCGGGCCGGTATGGTGACACCACTGCATGTGTATTCGCGGGCCGTTTGTGGTCCGCTGTCTTTTCTAAGGCTGCCAATTTTGAAAAAGGGAAATGTGTGTGTCGTTTTTAATGTGAATTTCTGGCTAGTAATCAACACAGATGTTATATTGATCTCTTCCACTTTGATCCAAGAAAAAGACACTTGTCGTCTTGTTCTACTAAAAAAAATTCCCCTCCTACTGAATGATGGTCACATTAAGAGATATTTAAGTTTCACAAAATGATTTTAGAAATAAATGAGCTGTCTATTGCTATCTGTTAAAATAATGAATAAATTGTTGCCTTTTACATCTTGTTGTTCTGGCTTTAATTACATGTTTTAGGTTTTATTACTGTAACTGAACAAAGGACACAATTCTTGATTTATTAAATTTGTATTATTCTAACCATAGAAACAAACTATGTAGAGATGCATATGTTAGATATTGTATTTCTATTGCCAAAAAATACTCTTAACTTGAAACAAGTACTCTATCAACTATTAGTCTGTTATGATAATTAATTGGTTTCAAGCTAAAATGGAAATCATTATGTGGTTCCAGCCTCTCAAATGGGCGTATTTGCTGCTTTTCATTGTCTTAATATTAAAGTCAATTTGTTTGGACAAAACAAGCCACAAGAAGGTGTCTGTTGGGCTTTAGGAAATGTTTCATCATTTTAAAAAACAAACGATTAATTGAGAAAAGGTCTAGCACATTAATAGATCATGAAAATAATTATTTCAGGAGATATTTTTTAACCTGGAGAGAAAATATTTCCATCTACAATATTAACGATCTTATAGTGCAAACCTGCTCCCGTTACAAAGTCGTAGTGGTGGTGATAACGAGGCACTGGATTGTTGGATAAATCTGCAGTGGGTTCAGCTCTGAACATTTATCCGGTCAGGAGGAGGAGGAGTTCTGTCTGTGGACGTTGTGATCCAGGAGGAATGAGGAAGAGCTTTAGGTGTGAATCACACATCTTTGCATCCTTTCTGACTGATTCAGCCGCAGCATAAATGAAGGTTGTTGTGTTATCACGTGTGCAGCAAGACCAGCTGAAGTACAGACTCATGTTAAACCAATTTAAGAAGAAGCCGTGATGAGCCGTCCGACAGCATTTAGTCATTACACCGAGAAGCTGGAACACAAAATGTACAATGACAGGTAGGAGCAGCTAATATGTGGATACATGGGACAGTCATCATTTTCAAAAATTATGAAAAATAGTTAAATTAGGCATTTTGAGTTCAGTAAGGCAATCAATACATACAAAATATGGAAATAAAACATCAAATAGTGAAAATAAGGCTTTTGAAATGAATAAATTAAATATACTGGGAGTCCACATATATTAATGAATTTGGGGGAAAGTACGTATGGTGTGCAGCATGATACACTCACCGGCCACTTTAATAGGCACACCTGTTCAATTGCTTGTTAACACAAATAGCTAATCAGCCAATCACATCGCAGCAACTCAATGCATTTAGGCCTCTAGACGTGGTGAAGACGACTCGCTGAAGTTCAAAGCGAGCATCAGAACGGGGAAGAACGGGGATTTAAGTGACTTTGAACGTGGCATGGTTGTTGGTGCCAGACGGGATGGTCTGAGTATTTCAAAAACTGCTGATCTACTGGGATTTTCAAGCTCAACCATCTCTAGCGTTCATAGAGAATGGTCCGAAAAAGAGAAAATATCCAGTGAGCGGTAGTTGTGTGGACGAAAATGCCTCGTTGATGTCAGAGGTCAGAGGAGAATGGGCAGAGTGGTTGGAGGTGATAGAAAGGCAACAGTAACTCAATTAACCACTCGTTACAACCGAGGTATGCAGAACACCATCTCTGAACGCACAACACGTGGAACCTTGAAGCAGACGGGTTACAGCAGCAGAAGACCACACCGGGTGCCACTCCTGTCAGAAAAGAACAGGAAACTGAGGCTGCAATTCCCACAGGCTCACCAACACTGGACAATAGAAGATTGGAAAAACGTTGCCTGGTCTGATGAGTCTCAATTTCAGCTGCGACTTTCAGATGGTAGGGGCAGAATTTGGCGTAAACAACATGAAAGCATGGATCCATCCTGCCTTGTGTCAATGGTTCAGGCTGCTGGTGGTGGTGGTGTAATGGTGGGGGGGGGGTATTTTCTTGGCACACTTTGGGCCTCTTAGTACCAATTGAGCATCATTTTAACGCCACGGCCTTCCTGAGTATTGTTGCTGGCCATGTCACAGTGGACCCATCTCCTGATGGCTACTTCCAGCAGGATAATGCACCATGTTACAAAGCTCAAATCATCTCAAACTGGTTTCTTGAACATGACGATGAGTTCACTGTACTCCAATGGCCTCCACAGTCACCACATCTCAATCCAATAGAGCACCTTTGGGATGTGGTGGAACGGGAGATGCACATCATGGATGTGCAGCCGACAAATCTGCAGCAACTGCGTGATGCTATCACGTCAATATGGAGCAAAATCTCTGGGGAATGTTTCCAACACCTTGTTGAATCTATGCTACGAAGAATTAAGGCAGTTCTGAAGACAAAAGGGGGTCCAACCCGGTACTAGCAAGGTGTACCTAATAAAGTGGCCCATGAGTGTACATCAAATGTATTAATATAGCAGATGTAAATCACATGGACAGAAGCGGAAAGTGACGAGACACATTTGCATCTTGTCCTGTTCTCATTAACATTAGCATCAGAAAACATTAAAGGATGGAGAGGATATAGAGAAGAACGGAGAAGAAGATATATATTTCAGATAGATGTGAAGTAAAGCTGACAGACACTGCGTGTGGTTGGAGAGGATTTGATGCACGGTCAGTAGAGAAGAGCTTCTGAAGGTTCTGCCTTCCTCAGTAACTCAGTCCCACCTGCCTCTCTATGCGGTGAAATCTAAATACTAATGACAGATTTGTGATCAATAAATGATTGAATATAAAGTATTCAACATGGATTTTATTTATAATGTAAAGTTCATTATTAACAGCATTTCCTTTAGATGTGCTTCTTGTGCATACACAAAACTGGAATCTGCAGACTGCTCGTTGTTTCCGTAATCATGTTTATGTCCTGTTGACGAGCAATGTTTAGATCAATCTGATCCTCATCAGGCGAGAGAAGTCTTACATGCACAGCAATGTATTGTGGCAGCAAAGAACAGTCTGCAAATTCAACTTTTGCCAGTTTTTTTTCCTCTAATAAAACCCCCTTTTTAGATAATGCATGCACAAAGTACTAATGTTTGGAATTTAGACATTTTTCACGTCTTAAGATCCACAAATGCATGTTACATTTAAGTGCTGGTGGCTCTGTAAATAAATGTAAAAACCCCATGTTGTTCAATGTACCTGCTTCAGGCCGGTGATATGTACGAGGAATACCTGCCAACGGTTTAAGTTGGGTTGTATTTGTGGGTGTGAGAATGTATTCACACATTTCGACAGGTTTCTCTCCTTCCTCTATTTCCACCCCGCTTTGAGCTCAGCGCTGAGGACACATGTTGAAACTTCATCAGTGTCTTTTGAGGCAAGCTGCTGAAACCCAAACTGCTCTGCAGCTGAATCTAGCTCTCACAAGCTGCGAAAGATACTGGTCAAAAGAGAATATTTCAGCAAAGAAATCTCTCTGACGTATTTGCTGCAATGAGAACGCTCGTCAAACCCGAGGAAGCGGGGACTTCTTTGTTCACTCTGCAAAAAGCATTCACATTCACATTTCTCTCTCCTTTGAGTGCATCACTTCCCATTTCTTTGATTATTCAGGTTTCACCGCCAATGCATCCGTCACCAAAACCCCAAAACATGATTGTTTTTCTATCTTATCTCTGACTGAAGTAAATGAACAGCCCTTTTGCTGTTCATGCACAGCAATGCACTATAATGCACATGGTTTTGAACTGGCGCTTATCTACTGACTCTCTTTGGTGTTGCTTCTTTAAACTATCAGTACCTAAACCTGACACTAGATGACAGCCTGCACTAGCGGATAACAATGGCTGCTTGGTAACAATCAGAGTAAAATGCAATCCATATGAAGCCCTACCTCTGGAGTGGTGTATCTGAGAGCGAGGGGCACGTGTAAAAACAACAAGTTGACGAAAGGGCTTGAAGGATGTGATCAGTTTTCGAGCGGAAACCCTTCCACGACTTCTGGCTAAGCGTACAAATAGGAATTACCTTCATGTTCTTATATTTAAGGGTCAACGTGAGAGACATTGTGGCTGAATAAAGTGTCTGTGATTTCAGGAAGTGATAGTCGTCGTGTGAGAATGCCCTTATGTCATGAAGACTAATAATATTGTGTAGGTGTTTTCAAAAATGAATTTAAAAGGTCAAAAAGAAGATATGTCGATGTCAACCCCAAAATACTATTAGCCTGAGTATCTGTTGCAGCTCACCACAAAGTAAAACTCTCTTCACACTGCAGCAGTATTCAGGGGCCTCAGTGTACTTTTTCAGACTCATAACCAAGAGGGCTTACTTAGGTTGCCCTTGTCCCACCAGCGACTGCATATGTGGGCTTATGTGAGTTTAGGGAGCCATGGAGAGTACGCCCAGGAACAGCTGACAATTTATGCTAGTGGGGCCCCCACATTCTCAGAGAGAGAGAGAGAGAGAGAGAGAGAGAGAAGAGGGGGAGGGAGGCATAGGGGAGAAGGAGAGATGAGGAAAAATAAGGGAGGGAGTGGGGGGGTGGAGAGGGTGGAAAGAGTAAGAAGTAGGGAGCACAGCAGACCTGGGTTGAAGCGGTGAGAGAAGGAGAGAAAAAAAGGGAGAGAGAGGGAGAGGGAGGCTGTCTTGTTTGTAGCTTGTCAGCAATTGCTTGAGACAAGCTTCCCCTCCATGTGTGAAAGCTACTTGGCAGGAATGCTTGGGCTGTACCAAGTGTAGCCAGGCGAGAGGGGGGTTCCACGATAGGTACAGACCCGGATTGAGGAGCCAATGTGTGGCTGAAGTAATCCTTCGGTGGTGGCGGCACTTTGATGTTGTATCTTTGTGGATGTGTGTGTGTGTGTGTGTGTGTGTGTGTGTGTGGGTGTGTGTGTATTGAGAGGGAGGGAGCGGTGTGTGGGTGTGAATGGGGCTGGAGAGAGTGTTCTCTATGGATATGTGCTCTCTCTCCCCGTCAGCAACAAAAGAGAGGGAATGAGACACCCCCCCCCCCCCCCCCCCCCCCCCCCCAGCTCTCAAGAGAAAGAAAGCAAAAAAAAGGAAAAGAAGATGATGAAACCTGAAGTGGTCCTGCAGTGTGAATTGCGTGTGTGTGAGCACACACACACACATGGATGCTCATGTTTTGCATCAACATATTTGTG